AGAGAGAGAGAGAGAGAGAGAGAGAGAGAGAGAGAGAGAGAGAATAGAGGAGAGAAGAGAGACGAGCAAAAAAGAGAAGCGCTCGCCTTATTGGAAGGCGTAACTAGGAGAGCCCGGGTACGGTGGACTGGATGCCATTATTCCGACGCGGTGGAGACGCGATGAAAAATATTCCGGTCCCTCGGCGTGACTCGCGGTGCACAGCGGAGCGTTGCTTATCGATGCCCCGGGTCGATACGACGAGAGCGGAGCGCGCGCGCGGCAACAACGTGCCGGGCGAATCGGATTTTAAATTAAAAACTCGCTCGCTTCCAGTCACTACGTCGGAACTCGACCGGCCGGGCACACGCGTGAGAGACGCACGGAAGAAAAACTGACGCTCCTCAATGAGAAGTACGAAAACGGAAAATTATAATGTCGTTCGAGGAATACGCTCGGCTAGGGATAGAACAGAGTCACGCGACTGGTATCGTCGATTATGTAACGCAACGTAATACGTAGCAGTTTTCCCAGCGTCAATCGCGCCGACAACGACGCGCGATTGGCACGCGGGGATACTAGCGAGGTTCATTACTCGATCTATCATCATTCCGTCTCATTCCGCGAAGGATCGCGTGAAATTGCAAGCATGGAAAAGGTTTCGCGATAAAAGTTCGCCGTCGCGGAAACAGCGCGGGAGCGCGCGCGCCCGGAGCGCCGCTCCGAATTGCAGTGCGGATACGAAATCATTTAATCAAACGATTCAATTATCTGTTTCGCGGGAGCGCGAGACAGCCGATATTTCGCGTGGACGGCATCATTATACAAAGCATCTACCATAACCGCGCGTTAATCGTCCTCGCGTCGCGATGTGTCTCCCTTCACCCGTAGAGCAATCAAAAAATACGCGGCCGAAATAATGACCGTTTCATTCGAAACTCTCCGCGCGGCCGGATAGCAGTCGCCGATTTTAGCTGGCGCGGTGTGGCGCGCGTCGGCGTGTCGGAGGGTCGTTCGGCTCGCCGACGCGCCGTGCCGCGCCGCGCCTCACCGCACCTCACCCCACCCCACCTCATCTCACTTGCCTCGCCCCGCCCCGTCCCACTTCGCCTCGCCTCGCTGCGCCTCGTCTCGCCGCGCCTCGCCTCACCTCACCTCGTCTCACCTCACCTCACCTCACCTCACCTCACCTCACCTCACCTCACCTCACCTCACCTCACCTCACCTCACCTCACCTCACCTCACCTCACCTCACCTCACCTCACCTCACCTCACCTCACCTCACCTCACCTCACCTCACCTCACCTCACCTCACCTCACCTCACCTCACCTCACCTCACCTCACCTCACCTCACCTCACCTCACCTCACCTCACCTCACCTCACCTCACCTCACCTCACCTCACCTCACCTCACCTCACCTCACCTCACCTCACCTCACCTCACCTCACCTCACCTCACCTCACCTCACCTCACCTCACCTCACCTCACCTCACCTCACCTCACCTCACCTCACCTCACCTCACCTCACCTCACCTCACCTCACCTCACCTCACCTCACCTCACCTCACCTCACCTCACCTCACCTCACCTCACCTCACCTCACCTCACCTCACCTCACCTCACCTCACCTCACCTCACCTCACCTCACCTCACCTCACCTCACCTCACCTCACCTCACCTCACCTCACCTCACCTCACCTCACCTCACCTCACCTCACCTCACCTCACCTCACCTCACCTCACCTCACCTCACCTCACCTCACCTCACCTCACCTCACCTCACCTCACCTCACCTCACCTCACCTCACCTCACCTCACCTCACCTCACGCTCAGCCAACGTCGCGTGCGCGCGGTAAGCACGACCGGCCGGCCTCACGTACAGCCTCGTTCACACGCACGTCTCGCTCGGTGAGAGTGTGGGTAGCGCGCGCTTCGTGGCGCGCGTGCCGACGACGGCCGGCGAGGCCGCCTCGCCTTTCTCCATCCTACCTCACTCCCTCGCGCTTCGCGCCACACGCTCGTTGCCTCCCGCGCTCACCTCGCTCCTCCGCTCGTCCTTCTTCCTTCCCCCGTCCCGTTCTTCGTCAGAGCTGCCACCACCCGGAGGGCTCATCGCCTCGACGAGACGAGCGGCACGGTTTGAGCTCCCACCGCTTCTCTTGTTCTCCAGCCGCTTTGCCTCCCTTGCCGACCGCGACCCGTCGCTTCGGCATTTTTCGTCCCTCACTCTCTCTCTCTCTCTCTTATCCGCCACTCCGTCGTACACGACGTGCCGCCGCCGTCGCCTTTTCGCACGCGTCGCGAGACGAGGAGATTAAAGGCCGACGCGCGTGCGGACCCCGACGATCCTTATCGCCCGCCGCGTGATGCGTAGAAGCGCGACTCGTTCTCTCTCAAGCGTGACGGCGTTTCACCGGGAATCGCGCGCGCGAACGAGCGAGCCCACTTTGCCATTTGCGGCGATGCGTAACATCGATATCGACGACCTGCTAAATACCAGCGCGACGCATTCCGCAGATAGCCCCTCGACGAACGAAAAGCTCGCGCTCTTAGCGGAAATTCAATATTATTTTTTCTTTTATACTCCCAGATAGAGACAAGAGTGCGTAAATTCGGCAGCAGTTTTACTAGTTGATGTGTGAAAACTGTATTCCTTATGAGTGGCTCATACGGCACTCATCTATCATGTGAAATAACAAAAAAGAGAGTTATCAGAGGTTATTCAAAACAATGTTATAAGATGCTATATAAAAGTCTGTGAAACTTGTAATAAATTCATTACTACATAAATATGATACTAAAATTTACATTATTGTATGTAAATTTAATGATTAATTCAGTATAATATATTTGCTTCATAACTAAAAAATTATAGCATTGACTGGACGTTTTACATTGTAAAAATTGTAAAAGTCTATCAGACATAAAGAAACTTTAGCTCTGTTATCAACGCTTAAGGTAGTTGGTTCATAAAAATAAAATTTTTTTTATTTTAACATTACGTGCTGTAAGATAAGTAAAGTTGTTGCCAAATCTACGTATACTTGTCTATTTAATTTAGTTTCTTTGTAACCATTTCTCTCTCTTAATCTTCTATTCTTTTGTTATTTTCTCTTATATATCACATATAGTACTTGCTAAGTATAAGGTATCAAAAGTACTCCATAGCAAACGACACCAATCAACTACGTGGCAATTCACAGAGCGTCGGTCACGGAGGAACAGCGTAGCGATTATCTCCCGCGACGCGGTATCTGCGTGCGCGTAAACGCATTTGGCATGCGGCGAGGCTTTAATTCTCATTTACTCCCCGAAACCAGAGGTAGCTGAACAGGCATCGATTAAAAAGAGAAAGACAGAAACGCAAAAGCAAGGGGGAGCAGGATAGAGAAAGACAGCGGTAGGGAAAGAAAGGAGGGAAAAAGATCCACTGATATCCAAATCGGTTCCTGCTTCGACGCCGCTTCACGGTGGCTAGGCAATAAAACGGCCCCAAGAGAGAAAGAGACGGACGAAGGCGACGCGACGCGACGCGATGAGGACGCCTGCGAGCAGAGAGAAGAAGGAAGAGGTGGAGGAGACGCGACCGCACGTAGCCGCAGGCAAGGGCGCGCGTGAGCAGGCAAGCGAGCCTTCCGACGACCCTCCGCCGCGTCGCGTAACGTCGCGTCGAGTCGCGCCGTGCCGTGCCGCGCGCGATGCGATGCGATGCGCCGCGCCGTGCTGCGCCATGCCGCGCCGGCCGCGCCGTGCCGCGCCGCGCCGCGCCGCGCCGCGCCGCGCCGCGCTGCACGATGACGACGAGGAGGCGACGCGACGGCTCTCGCATCTTTTTCTTTCCTTTTTGCCTACACGTCCCGCTCACCTCTCGCGGCTCTTTCGATCGTCCGACTCGCTTCTCGTCTCGCTCACTCCCCCCACCTTTCGAAAACTGCCTATTCGTTTCGTCTCTCTTTCTCTCTCTCTATGTTTCTCTCTTTTTTTCTCTTTTTCTCTCTCTCTCTCGCCGCGCTATATCCTCCTACACCGTTGTCGGAACTATTCGTCTTCTACCTCGCACTTCGTCTCACCCGCTGCTAAACGTCCGTTACCGCGTGTCTCTGTCGACCCTACCGGGACCGACCGTCTGTCTGCCTGTCTGTCTCTGTCTATCCTTCTCCTCTTCCTCCTCCTACTCGCAACGTTACATCGAGTCCCGCGCAATTTCGTGCGAAAATTAACCTGGAAGGAGCGCTCCGTCCAGTTTTACTTTTTTCTTTTTTTCCCCCGACATCCCTGAGCGCAAGTGAGGTCCTCTCTCTTCATATGGTTGACGCGCGAAAAGCCGCGGTCAGCCCGTCGCAATTTCCTCGGAAGATCGTCAGTTGTTTGCGAGGAAATTCTGCAGGTGATTCCCCCTCAATCTGTCTATATTATACCCTCTGATCATCTGACTCTGTCGTCGGTGCATCGTAATGCTTGTAATTAAGCAAAAACGCCGACGTTCCGCCGCGGCCGTTTTGCAAAAAACGTACGATTTTCGCGTAGCAACATTCTCACGTGGCTCACACGATCCAAGTGATCTATGAGCGCAGATCCATGGCATTTACGAAAACGCGCGCGGCATCGCGAGCTCGTAAGTTATACAGGGTGCTCGAAATGCACGGCGGAGTCAGCGCTGGCAAGGACATTTTTCTACTTGAGCAGCGGGGAAACGCGCAGTCGACGGCTAAAATGAGTGCGTTGGGTGGGTCTGAGAGAGAGAGAGAGAGAGAGAGAGAGAGAGAGAGAGAGAGAGAGAGAGA